ACAATATAAGGGGATATATGGAAAGTACAAGCTGTTTGTACAGGTGGCCACCATGGCAGGTTCGTCTGTACTTTTACTTTAAAGTCAGTATCACAACTCTTTTGTTATGTGTTGCATGGAGGTGGAGGTCTCAGTGACAAAAAATAAACAAACTCTACGCTCAATAAAGCAAACCCCCCCCCCCTCCCCCCCACCTCCTCAATAAAAAAACCCCCCTCCCATTCCCTCACACGCACCTTTTCAAAGAGAAAAAAGCCTCCAGTTTAGTTTGATAGCCTTACACTGGAGATCCTTAAAGCCTGCGACCGCCTCTGGTTGGGACACCAGAAGGGAATGGTTTGTTTTCTTCATTGTAGTAAAAAGTTTTAAAAAGTCCTGCCTTAGATGGCCATCTCATTAAGACAGACATCTTACGCAAGCTCAGCTGTTATAATTAACTTTTGCAAGAAAAATGAGAGCAAGTACATTGCTTTTTACTTGCCTTGTACCCTGAAGAAGGGTCAAATTGTGCTTTCTAAATTTTCTTGCATTAATAACATGATCAATAAGTGTATTAAACCATTAATATTTTATTATGATTAGTGTGAATAGAATATCAGGCTTTGTCATTTATTGTTAACGTCCGAGTTGACTTTGATAATTAATATCTGATCCCAGGAAATAGTGAGTTGCTGGAAATTGTGGTTCATCGTTTTAAAAAAAAATCCCCGATCATATATATGGAATATTGAATGTGAATGTTTCTGCAGGTCTTTTTACATGTTGAAAAAACCCTGAATTTAGTTCCTTGCTTTGATGTGCTGAACTTGTGTTAAAACAACTAGATTTGCTTATCGTGGCTCATGTTTTAAATGCTTTAGATACAATCATAACAACAACGTATTATGATAGATATATATATATATATATATATATATATATATAGATAGATAATTATTTGTTCCTCTGTGTATTTCCATATTTGATACACACCTTTTAATTAACAAGTATTTGCTCTTTTTAGTTAAAATGTTCACTTTTGATCTCTAGAAATTTGATTCCAAATAAACATTTTATCAGCTATCTGTTGGTCACAGCCATGGTTGCATTAGTGTTAGAAACTTGACTGTTTATACAATGTAAGATTGGAGTTTTACGTAGCCAGCCCAGAGTTACAGTGTATGTGTTTTTAAAAAATAATTGATCACAGACAGATCAAAGTAAGAACCAGGAGCTTATAAATTTTTGTGTAATTCACATTAAAAAGATTAATTTTATTGAAATTATGTGTCATGACATAGTGGAATCAGAACCAATTTTTGGGGTATTATATGTTTTTGGTTTAATCGTAGACTATAATTTTGTTTTTTTACCTTGCTTTTAATTTAAAAAATACTCATGTAGTATTGAAGTCAAGATATTTGGGATTGAAGGAGATGAGGGATGCCTGGTGTCTGAGGTAAAATTTGATGAGAAAATGGCTGCCAAAGTTGAGTGACTTACAAAACTTGAGTGTGTTTGGCAATAGCAAATTTACATTTTAGTGTGTTTGGCAATAGCAAATTTACATTTTAGTGTGTTTGGCAATAGCAAATTTACATTTTAGTGTGTTTGGCAATAGCAAATTTACATTTTTGTGCCTTTGATGAATATGTTCAGTGAAATCCACACGGAAATGTGTATTTAAGTGATGTGGAAGATGTATGTCCCCCCCCCAAAAAAAAAAAAAAAAAAAAAAAAAAAAAAAACCCAACAAAAAACAAAATAAAAAAAGGAAGAAAGAAAAAAAAAGCTCAAACGATAAAACTTGCTCATGAGTGGAAAAATATTGCTTTTTTCTATTTAATTTTCTATTTTAATTATTTTGATGAGAATTTGATTCCACTATGATGCCCCTAACATATTGTTTATTTGATAAGACTTTTCGATTGAATGGGAAGGAAAAGGAAATCTACTTTCTATGTCGTTAAATATATAAAATTTACAGTCGAATCTGCCATGACGGCCACCTAATATTATATAATACGGCCACCTGTACAAACGTCCACTTTCTTTTTTCCCCCTTTGCATTTTTTTCTATATAAATATAATTTCACTGTGTTAAACTGTCACCTGTCCAACGTGACCATGGCCACCTTTATTTATCTCTCAAATATGAAAAAAATAATGTCTAAGAAGGGCCACATAAATCTTTTTTCCCCCAAAGCATGTGGACGAACAGTCTTAGTCCATTCACATCATGTTGTTAAATTGTTAGTCTGTCCAATCATGTTAGGTAGGTCCCACTCACCGTTGTTTACCCAAGTTGACCACCGGGTAACAGTAAATTTTCAGCTGCTGGTGAGGGAAGCGTGTGGTCTGACATAACCTACAAGCACTGCCCACAACTCATACGCTTATTGTAAGGGAGTCACCTGTCATTGTTCACCCAGTCTTTAATTGTTGCGGAACACAGCACTACCACATTTTAAACGACAATTCGAAATAGCAAATGCGTAACTCTCTCCTAAGTCCTTTTAGATTTTATTTCAACAAGTGTAGTGCATAGAAGATTTCCTGCGAAGTGTGTGGACCTTGGCTCTGTCCCTTCCTATCTCTATTGTCCGACAGTCCCCCCAAAGGCCGTGAGTTACCGATTATATACACTTCCCGTGAACTACCCCATGCGAGATCCCCGCACAGCGCGAGATGTCCATGCTCCTCCGCACGGAAACCCCGCACCTCGAGTAAATCTCGACACTTGTGGTGAAAAGTGGCCAAGTGTCCCCAACATTAACAATGTACATGAACTTGAACTTGTGACAGGAGCCTTGCATGTTCCCCGAGTGGTTGCGACCCGTTTGTTTTTATTTTACCTTGTCTTCCTCATCTGACAAGTTTCATATTTTTTTAACTTGCACACTATCTTCCTCATTTGATACACTTTGTAGAATTTAACACTCATTACTGCAGTCACGAGACGTCGTCTCTCTAGGTAAACAAAAAAGCTCCACTCACTCAGATAATCCAGCTGTTGGTGACGTATCAATGTAGAAATGTAACCCATGTCTGAGCCTGCAACAAAACGAAGAGACCAAAAAAAAAAACCCTAGACAAAACCAGCAACAAGAATAACAAACAATGCTCCCTCCCCCCACCACCTTCTAAAAAGACAAAAAACATTTTAATAAGCATTACGGAAGTCTTAAGCCTGAAGCCACCTCTGGTTGGGACCTCAGAGGGGAATGGTTTGTTTTCCTCATTATCGTCAGTCTGGCCCAAGGAGGCCACCTGTATTAGATGGCCACTTTTCTCCTCGACAATGGGTGGCTGTCTTACACAGGTTTGACTGTTTGCATTTGAAGAAAATATCAAAATAGAAAAAGAATAGGAAATTGATAGCAAATGTTTTTTTGCTTTGAGCGCAACATCCAAACAAAATCTATGTGGCCAGCTTGGGAGACTTTGTTTTGGTAGATTCTAAGTATTTTACAGTGCTTGCAACTACGAGTGTAGGGACATATGAAACATTTTCAGTTTTTTAGGAATTTTTTATTTTGCCCAGGTGTCAGCCAAAACCTACTCTAATGGATTAGTTTTTGCCCTACCGAGAAGGTTAGACACTAGTGTTAGATCTTACCTACCCTAATGTCAGAGGTGTGGCTGAAAGATTGCAGTAGAAGGAGTCAAGGAGAAGCAGTAGAAAGAGTCAGGAGCTCAGAGGATTGGGGAAAGAGGGGAGACTGAAAATGGAGATGAAAGCAGTGTATGGCAGAACAGGATTATAGAGCTGGAAGACAATTTTAGAGAAGAAAATTTTCCATGGTCTTCTGGTTTCGAACCCGGGACCTATTGAATAAGAGGCGACTTTGAGGGCCCCTGGGAGACTTTTCATCTACAGTATGATTAAACTGAAAATTTAGCCTCAAGCTGAGTTTTTAAGAAGAGAAGTCATGAACAGAAAACTCGAACACAAAGTGCTACTTTGTCCTGAAGCAATTAACTCTGAATACGTACCTTATAGACAAAAATTATTTTGCCCTGATTTAGTTTTTAAGCCGTATCAACCACCTACAGAAAAAGAAAAAGACCACGATCTTCCGCCTACGAACAGAACATATACGGCTCAACTTTCACTTTAACAGAATAAAACCAGAACTTCTTCCTTTGTGTGACTATACATATGAGACAGTGGGACATCACCATTTCCACTGTACAGCCCTAAATGACATAAGAGCTACACTTCTCCCTCCGAGACCTAACTTTGACAACACACTCTACGGAACATTACAGCTACTGCAGCAAACTTCACTGTATCGCTACATGGCATTGGAAGGAAGGGCGAGTGCCAGATGTTGCTGGATTGATAACAACAACAATAACAACATGTATTTCTAGGGACACTTTAACCCTATCCGTACGCCTGGGGTCACTTTTTACCCCAGGGGTTGTATTCTTCACATTTTAAAATACTTCTAGTTCGGAGATCTCTTTGAAACTCTCCGTATTTCTCCAAAAAATTGTTTTGATAGACTGCTATGCAAAGCGTACGGATGGGAAAACGAGTAAATTTCCTCTTTTGAAAGTGATGGCACAGAGTGAGTTCCCCATGTCGTATGGATGATTTGATAGTAAAACACGACGTACGGATAAGGTTAATCAAGTTAAATGTCTTGGACATCTTGCTTAAACTTTAAAAAAAGAAAGAAAGTGAGACTGATGTTAATTTGAATAAAGTTGAAAACACTTTAAACAGCGAGGGCGCGTATAATATATAACTTTATACAGTTGCGAGCACCGTAACGTAAAACCTCTACTAAAGCAAGGGAAGAAGAAGAAGAAGTGAATGTTGTACAGTTATAAATTATACCTTTTTTTTTTGGTCAGTTGCAGTGCTAACTTTTTAAAAGTTAAAAATGTTTTACTTTTCTTTTCTTTCTAGTGGGCATTTTGCTTGCATCGAATGCAAAAAAGGTAGTATAATGCTTGGTTCCTGTCATAGTGTTGAATGTTCTTTTTTTTTATTTGTTTTTTTTTTGTAGGACAAGTCTCGCAGGAAGAGGTGGAACAATTCCAAGAATGGGACCCCACCTGGCAACTTTGACTGGACAAGTGTGAGTAATAGTAACTGCTACCCAGCCTGTTTGTTTGATGTGTATTATTCTTTGTTTGTCATTTGCTGACAGGATTCTGTGGTGTAGCGGTTAGGTGCTTGCTCAGTCACTGGAGGCAAAAGACCTGAGTTTGATTCCCATGTATGGAACATTTTTATTGAGTATCTTGGTCCTTCTGTTTGGACATTGTAACCCTCGCAGCCTGGGTTGACTGTGACATTCAGGATTAAAGCCTGCTTCCTAAATGATTTAAATTGTGTAGATGGGGCTGTAAAACACCTATTTAAAAAAAACCCTCTTTTGCACTATAATTAGTGTCAGAAGTTTCACTTTATCTTCAGTGTCATTCCAACCTCCTATTGATCTCTGAAGTAAGTTTTTAAGGTTGCTACCTTGAGCTCAGTACAATACCCATTGCTGCCAAGTGCTTTTAAAGTTTCCAAGTTGCCATTGGAATGGAATTGTATTGATACAAATGCGTGTTAAGGCCTGTATATTTTGTATTTTTTGTTGTTGTTGTGCTGTCTGTGTGGAACCTGGAGGGATGATGAATAATGAAACCTTTAAAGTAAAGGGAATGTGTTTTGTGCCTTCCCTTTGGGAAATTTGGCTTCGTCTCTCCACTATAAATAATTTTATGAGGGCACTGGTATTCTCACTAGAGACTGTTGTCTTTGGTGTAGTGGTGAGGTGCTTTGCCATTGTATGCTGAAGACCAGAGTTCGATTTTTGTTTGGGGAGGATTTTTATTATCTCAGTCTTTCCTGCTGGATTATTTTATCCTTTTCTGCCTGGTCAGACTGTGTCAGGCAGGGTTGAGGCCTGCCTTCTAAATGATTTGAATTGTTATGATTGAGTGTAAAGTACATAAATGAACCCCCCCCCCCCCCAGAAAATTTACAAGTGATGCCCTGAAATGAGATTGTGAACCTTTTTTGTGATTTTCTCCCCTGCAGATCTCTCAGTACACGTATGAGGACGATGCTGTCATCAACAAAAAGCTGCCAAAAGAACTTTTACTGCGGTGAGTCTTGTGTCCTTTCTTCCCTTCTTCAAGGGATGGTTGGGAGGGATGATGGGTACTCCCCCCAACCACGCAAACCTCCTTTTTTGGACACTGTCTAAGAGGACCACCTGTCTGGGATGGCCATTTTTCTCATCAATAATATGCGGTGGTCTTGGACAGAGTTGACTATAATTAATTATCTTTTATACATATCGTGGTCATGGTAATTAAATTCTTGTAGTTTTATGCACCCTTGTAGATAGGTGTATATTTGTCAAAGTGTGAAATGTGAACTTTTTCTGAATAGGCCCACTGATGTAAGAATAGTTAACTTATCCAACATATTCTTTTCATTGTGAGAGCAAGAATGTTCTTGTTTTATGCATTTCTTTTTTATTTGCAAAAAGATAGGGAGGGTTTGACTGGTAGGCTTTTTTTTTTTCTATAACTTTGTCGTTTCTGTCTGTATTAGCTTAGATTCTATGTCTTTTCTTCTAACTTGGTAATCATGTATCTGTGTAAGCAGAACAATTTAAGTGTGATTATCTTAGTTATCAATTATCTTGACTGTGCAGCTGATTCAGTTGAATGGTCTACAATTCATTTAACTGTCTTGCCTGTTTTTTGTTCATTATTTTATTATTGAGATAATTTTCCATCTTGTCTCTTTCAGAATCTTCTCCTACCTCGATGTGGTTTCACTCTGTCGTTGTGCTCAGGTGTCAAAGGTCAGTACCCTTTATCCTTGTACGTGCATTTATTTATTGACAAAGCGTGTTGGTATAAATGTGAAACCTTTTGATCCCTGTTCCATGTCCGGATTTTCTTTTTACATGCTGACATGTCTTGGTCAATACAAAATAATTCCTGGATGATGTATACAATTGTAGGAAATTAACCCTTTCCTATTCATGTTCTTTGCATACAATGGACACCCACTTGTTTCACGTCCTGTGCATGTAACAGCTTTCTGGTGTTTGATTTCTTTTGCATAGAGGAAATGAAAATAAAGTCTGACTGCTGATGCCGGCTCTGCCACTTTTTTTGTCAATAAAAATGAAAACGAGATTACAGCTTCGTGTCTGTGGTTTATTTCTGTCACATTTTGTCAATGGATATGGAAACAAGACAACGGCTTCACTTCATTCAGTGGTTTACTTCTGTCACAGCCCCACTTCCCATAATGGAAATCCTGTGGGGAAAAAATGAAGTGTGTTTGGTCGAGTTGAATGCTACTGCTGCTTTTTTTTTCATTTCTGGTTTTATAAGAGTTGAACTGGGAAAGGTTGATGCTTATGAGAAATTTCTGCTGAAAAACATGTAAGTGTGTGCAAAATAGTGTGTGTTGTTTTGGTTTAAAGAAAAGATGGTTATGGCTAGTGGTGAGGGTAATGAGTTTAACTGGTGACATCATACATGACTTGGTGTTTAGTAATTGCCAGGAGGGTCTTGGTATTCTTTCAAAGGGCCACATTATTATTGCTTGACTGTTTTCTTATTAAAAAAATTTTTTTTTGATGTTTCAGTTTATTTATAGAAATTTTCAAGCTTGTGAGACGAGTTTAAAAAATGTTTTTGTACATTTTGTTAGTGTTGTTGTGGGTTACGGTTTATTGCAGAGAGCTATTGCATTTTCATATAACTTTAGCCCTTCAAAATTAACTGATAATCTTGTGCAGAATAATTGAAAGCAGCCATGAATTTTTTATATAAAAAACAATCGTCAAACCTACTCTAATGACTGCCCGTTGAAAAGACTTCTACCTCCCTTGTGTTTTTTTTTCTAAGCCATGTTATAATGGTACTGTTCAAGAAGACCACCTTATGAAGATGTGGCATTGAGTAGTTGTCTTGGGGGCTCCAGTGGCTAAGTGAGCACTGAGTTCAGACTCAAGAAATGTCAAGCAAGTGTCGGTGACAAGGGGTCAGATGGGTGGTCACTGGGGGTGTGTCCTTGAGTAAGACATGGCAACCCAAGCTCAAAATACAGGGCGCTACACAGTGGCGACCAGCAATGGCATGGTTGTAAACTGTTCTGTACTTGTGTAATATTGCATATTTATGTGTGTGTTTCTGCTGGTGTTTAATTTATGTATGTATGTATTCATAGGTGTGTGTGTGTGTGTGTCTTTGTAAACCAAATTGCCCTTCTAGGATCAATAAAAATGTAATTTAAAAAAAAATGTCATTTATTTATTTATATTTATATGTACTCCTGACACTTCTCTTATCTTAAGTTAACAACTGTGTATTTTGTCTTTGGTTATAGTTAAACTACCTTGTCTTAACTTGGAGCAAACCCTGCGCTGTTGACTCTGTGTTTCTTAACGTAAACGGTTCCGTTCAATTTTTGTGTGTGATCTATTTGTTGTCAGTACTGGAACATGCTGGCCCTGGATGGCAGCAACTGGCAGAGAACGGACTTGTTTAACTTTCAGACAGACATTGAGGTGAGTGAGAGCACTTTTGTGTGGACACGTCTTCATTTTGTTGACTATTAATAAATGTTTTAAGCCCCCATTGATGCAAGTTACATGTTTTTAGAGATGGTTTTTTTGATCAGGCCTGTCTAGATTTGACCTAGTTGTTTGGGAAAACGTTCAATTTGAAAGACGAAGACAATGCGTCATGGCTAATATATGAAATATTATTCCTATAAGGGAATCGAACTCATGACTTTTGCTCAAAGGTGAATAGTACATTTTTTCACAAATACCAGTTTGCACATTGTGGAGTCTAATTATTTAATCTTTACCCAATGTAAATAAAATACATCTAGATCTGTAAAGTTACACTGAGAAGGTAGCTGGGTTTTTTTTTGGTTCTGTTTTTAGAATTTTACTTGGTAGGATTGTGGGCCCAGTTTTGAAGGAGTAACTTGAATTTATTTCAAGGGCAACAGTTTTCTGAAACATTTGTAATGTGCTTTTCAAAGATATTTCTTACTGAACATGATCAGGGCCCTGTGGTGGAGTACATGTCCCAGCGCTGTGGTGGCTTCCTCAAGGCTCTCAGTCTGAAGGGATGCGAGATAATAACAGACACAGCTTTGCAGTAAGTTCTTTGGATGTTACTTTTTTGTTGTTGTCTTCTGTGGGTTTTTGAATGCTGATTTCGCTACCCTAGAATGACAAAATTCTATCTGCTTAGTACACTGTTTTGAGAAATTTGAAGTAACAAATTTTGAGTTCCTTTACATGTCAAGCTTTTTTTAATGCAAGTCTTTGAATATCTTGATAATGACTCCCGATAATCTTATGATTTTGATAGAGCAGGTAGAACATTTGGTTTCTGACCTCATTGTCTTAGTAGCTCAAAATGGCCAAAAAATGTATGATAGAACTTTGTAATGCTAAGGTTGCGATTTTTCATCCTCATCATCGATACGATGTATAAAATTTAGGAGGCAGGCTCTTTTTGCCCTCCCAGTCAGGGTCACCAAGGTTGATTTGGGCCATAGAGTCTACATAACAAGAGGGGCCACTTGTCTCTTTGAGCCAATTAAAAAAGTGTCCTCAAAATTCGGTTGCGCCCTCTTCGCAAAAGTGCGCCTTTTGCGAACAGAGTTATCTTACTTGAGTTTAAAAAATCAAAGTGAAACTAGCAAGTTTTTGAATTAATTTCGGAAGAACGCTTTTTTAAAATGGTTACGCTGATAAAAAAACCTCTTCCGGAGGAAAGGGTGATTGTTTTCTTCGTTTAATTTGACTTTAGAATGAAAGGCGAGAGGTCATTAAAATTTTAAAAAACCTAAAACTCTGCACTGAACGAACCCGAACTGCTGATGAACAGCAGTTGATCTGCGCACACAAGGAGTTGCTATTCCTATTCTTCTTCTGGAAAAACGAAAGAGAGCTTCAAAACAGACTGCAGCGCCATTTGAAGCAAAGAGCGAACTTCCTGCGGACACTTTTTTGACTGAGTGGCCCATCTTGTTATTTACTATCTTTGTTTGGGCTCAGCATTATAGTAAAAAGAGAGCAGATACCATGTAAGAAATCAGCTTTTCAATTTTTCTTTTGGTCACAGTCAAAGATGACCTTGGTTTGATCCATTAAGTATGTGGGATAATGGTAGAAAGAAATTACCATGTTCATGAAGCAAAATAGAACAATTACTTGGAAAAAATCTGTAGAAGTTTGACTCTCTTTTAAGTGAGCTGGTCTGATTTTCTTTGTGTACATTGTGCATTTGTGTACACTACACGTAGAACAAAATTACTACAGTTTTAGTTAAAGGAATGCTTGTTCTCAGGTCCACCTTTTTAGAGTGTTCCCTTGGTTTCTTTTTAATCTCCCTGCATTTTATTACTTTTGTGGGTGGTTGACAGATGCTCTTGTGTGGTTTGCTCCTTCTTTCCTATGAAACATCTATGGTTCTTATCTCTCCTTTTATTTGTGTTTGTCATTCTCTTGTAAATTTTCTTATCTTTGGCTCTTATATATAATCTTATTGTGTTGCAAGTGCTGTAAAACTCTTACTAAAACTAAACTTTATGGCCTTTATCATGTTGTTGTTCTATGTCTGTGCTTTCTCTGTGCCCTTTTCCCCTCTCTGTTAATGCTGCTGATTTTTTACATTTGTTTAAACATGATCTCTCTCCAGGACTTTCGCCCAGCAATGCAGACACATTGAGACTTTAATTCTGAACAAGTGCATGAGCATCACAGATCTGTAAGCAATCAATTGTAAACTTTTTCAGTGTTTTGATGTTGAGTGTCTCCATATTGTTTTGTTTGTGGTATGGTATTGAACTGAGATCTAAATGCACTATGTCCTTGTAAGTGGTTGCTTCTTTTGTGTGTGCCGTAGCTGTGGTTTTGTCTGTTATTGTGAGAGTTGTTGACATTTGGGTGGTTAGAGGATGGGATTGGTAGATCCTGTTCTGTGAGCTCCCTTGTTTATTTTTAAACTGCCTGTCTTGCTTTTTCCCCTTTTTTAAGTGAGTGTCAGTGTGCTCATACTCGAACTTGAACTGAGTTGATATGAATTTCTACGAAATAATGTATTGTTTGTTAAAAAGTCGTAAAGTTTGTTATATACCGATGGCTGTGACTACTTGTGAGTCATTGCGGTGGAATTGAGTGCTCAACAAAATTTAGGAACTGGAGAAATCTGTATTTTTCTGACTGTTGGAGAAGCAATTGTCATCTAAATTTTTTTTACCACCTCCAAGCTTTTCCATCCCTTAACTCTTTATCTTGGAAGGGTGTAAACCCACGATGCTAGGGTCCTTTTTTTGTACTAAATAAAAAAAATGATGAAAACAGTCACTGAATTGGTCATTAAATCAAAACAAGAGAACCTATTTTGATAGTTCTTCTTTTAATGAATGAAATCCAGATAAAAGAAACCTGTTTTGTGGGTGGTTGGCCGGTGCTCTGGTGTGGTTTTCTTCTTCTTTTGTTTTTGTAAAGTGTTTTACGCAACTGCTTAAGGTCATATAAGCGCACTGGACACACCTAATATTTTCAGTTGGTAGGAAATTTTGAATTTTGCGGTGGCGACCGAAGCCTACTCTTATCGATTTTAGACCACCAAGGGATCTTTAACGTGCACAACTTGCACACGGGCCCTCCGAGATTTTTCGCCCTTGTCCGAGAAGGCTAGGTGTAGATCTTTCTTACCAGAAGATCAGGGGTGTGGCTGAAAGACAGCAGTAAGAAGAAGCGAAGGAGTAGCAGTAGAAAGGCTGCAGAAAGAATCAGGAGCCCAGAGGTGAGGGAGTGGGGGCAGAAAGAGGAGACGAAAGCAGACGACAGAACATTGCTAGAGAGCAGGAAAGGAGGTGAAAGGAGACAAATTTAGAGAAGAAAATTTTTCGGTCGCTACCCGAATTCGAACCCGGGACCTTTTGAATGAGAGGCCAACGCCTTAACCTCTAGGCCACGAGAGCCCCCTTGCTTCTTCTTTTCTATGAAACGTCTATCATCCTTATCTCCACTTTTTCTTTTTTATGTTTGTTGTTACTCTCTTGTAACACCTGTAATCTTCTGGCACTCATATAACCTAATGCAGTTGCGAGTGCCGTAAAACCTCTACTAAAACTAAAAGACCTGTTTTCAGCTATTTCCGAAAAATAATTTGATGTCGAAATTGTTGTAAAAGTATGTGCCTGAGCCACGAATTTTAAATTTTACTAGGAAATACTGTTTAAAGCCAAAAACACATGTTTTTTAGAACAAGTTAAGAGTATTTAGCACTCAGTACTCCTATGTTGGTGGTTGGAGGGTCCCACCAGTAGATTATATTTCTCTCCTAACCCTCTTTTGTTTTGTCACTTTGTCTGTCTTGCTTTTTTCCGTCACTAAATGATTGTTAATGTGTTGATGTGTTTCTCCTTACTCACACTCAGAAATAGTTTGACCAAATAAAACATATTTTTTCTTTTTTAATGGCAAATGGAATAAGCGAAGCTAGCCGTTTTATTTTTGTATAAACTTTGTGGGTTTTTTTCCTCAGAACTTGTGAAAGTTTAGGCAAGTACAGCTCAAAACTGCGGAAACTTGACCTCAGCTCCTGTCCAGAAATAACGGATCTCTCCTTAAAGTATTTAAGGTATGCTCAAATGGTGTTAGTGAACAGAATAAAGTCATGAAAAATAAAATGTTTTCTGCGCAGATGGTAGGTTTAGTTGGCCATGGCTGTTTACTCATTGCGATGATATAATAGATAGCATTTTTATAGCGCAAGTTCCCTCTCAACAGCAAGTTGTATGCGCTTTTAATCTATATTATTATCTTAGCAGACCTGAAAGCATTCTGAAACAAATTTCAACTTTCTTAGAAGCATACAGCATACTGTACAAACTGCCATTTTACAGACTTAAGAATAGAAATTGGACATCCTACTGAATGTGATTGCTTTAAGTTCAGCTTGTTGATCTACTATTCTGAAGTGGACTCGCACTCAGTTTTGAAGCACTAAAGTCTAATGAACATTGATTCTCTCATTTTTCTGCAGTTTATCACATTAAAAAGAAAAACAATATATCATGAATTTGACGTGCCACGTACAGGATCACATTAAAATCTTTTTGAGCTGGGTCTAAATGCTTATATTGGAGAATATCCCAATATATATTAGTCTTGAGCTCATGTGCTCTCCTGATTTCACTTACAGACTGGGCATTCTGTTACCTCAGTTGGTATCATGTCAGAGTATGGAAGGGTTCTTTCTTTCACTCCTAAACTGGGTGTTCTTGAACTTGGGTGGGTTTGTGGAGGTTTCAAGGCTCTTAACCCATTGGCTCTGTTATTTCAGAGATGGACATTAAATTGGGAGGAATGGACATTAAATTGGGAGGACTTGCCTTTAAAAAACAACAAACTCCACAGTGTTGAAAAGGATGTTAAACCCAAACTCTTTTTACTAGGAGAACAAAAGTGTCATTATTTGCTCTATTGTGAACCTACTGTGTGTTTTTCTGTTCCCAACAGTTACACAGCTCAAGGTCGCGGCTGCCCTCACCTGGCCTACCTGGATGTGTCGTGGTGCCAGAAAGTGACCAGTGAGGGTGTGATAGCGCTGGCGGAGGGATGCCCCAAGATACACACTTTCTTCTGCCGTGGGTGCACGCAGGTGAGGAGCAGTGTCTCATCTCAGTTTTCTTGTTCTGTCATATCTCAGGTGTCGTCATGTCACTACCTTAGAATGACCAGGTTCCATCTGACATAATTGGCTGTTTTCAGTTGCCAAAACCATGAGGTCCGAAACCGAACGTTGTATCTGCTCTATCGAAATTGAAGATTATTCGAAGTCGTTATCAAGATATTCATTTATTGCTATCGAAAAAGCTTGACATGTTGAGAAACTCAACGTTTTTTACGTCTAATTCCTCAAAACCAGATACTGAGCAGATAGCACTTTGTAATTCTAGGGTACCGATGTGTCGCTGTAATTATTCATTGCCAAGGGAGCAGAGGTCTCCCAAATTTCTGCCCCCCACAACTCATCCATTTTGTCTAAAAAATTAATAGTGGGTGGCTGGCGGGTGCTCTGGTACCCACCTTCAAATGATCTTAATTGTGTTGATGGAAGTATAAAGCACCTACATAAAAAAAAGATAAGAGAACAATTATCCACCGGTCTTTATGGTGTAATGGTTAATGTCTTTGCTGTTGCACACAGAAGACGTGTGGTCAATTCTCCTCTAGGTAAGTTATTCTATTAAGTATCATTTTCTTTTCTTTTCCGATGCTACTTTTGTCCTATCAAACATATATCGTCCTGATCTCTCCTTCTTTTTTGTGTTTGTTACTCCCTTGTAACACCTCTAATCTTCGGCACTTATATGACTTTATTGTGTTGCAAGTGCCGTAAAACTCTCACTGAAACGGAACTTGGATGTTGTATACCATTCTTCCAGGGTTGGCCATGACAAGCAGTGTTGAAGCAGCTTGGTTGGTGGTTGGAAGGTGCTCTGGTGTGGTTTGCTCCTTCTTCCCTATCAGATAACATTTATCATCCTTTTCTCTTCTCCTTCTTTTTTGTGCTTGTTGCTCTTAGGCCGGTCCCAGAGTGGCTCTGTAGGTCTGACCTGTAGCTCGCCTAGCTCGCACTGTGCAAATAAACGTATACTTTACCATGTGCTTGAGCAGCGTCGCTGTGTGGTCTGTTTGATAATTCAGGAGTTGAGACGCAGAGGGATGTCCCTAGAAAGGCCTAGATTCTAGATATAGATAGTAATAATTTACTTCTGATCTAGATCTAGATATTGAAGCAAGGGCTAGGTAAGGATGAAAGAATATAGTACCATATGAGGAGATTGGAGTAATGAAAGAAGGAAAACGGACTAAACTAGCGAGGAGACAGGAGAGAATACGTACAACTCTCACACAGGGTTCCCACAGGTCTTTAGAAAAGTCCTTAAATTAAAATCCTAATGCGGCTGTTCTGACACAGCGAGCGTGCCTCGCGCTTGCTCAGACACAGAAGCCAATGCACGGTGCGGCTGTGCTGACACGCTGACAGCACGCGCTAGGCGAGCTATAAGTCAGACCTACAGAGCCACTCTGGGACCGGCCTTATGTAACACCTCGAATCTTCAGCACTTGTATGATGAAATTTTGTTGGAAGTGCTGTAAAACTCTTGCTAAAACTAAACAAAGCAGCTTGCATTTGCAATTTTCTTAACTGTGTACTATCGTTTTTTAAATTCCTGCATTATGTTTTCCTTTTACGTTTTGTTTGCTTGTGGTCCCCAGATTGGAAGTGAAGGCATAGAGAAGCTGGCTGTTTGTTCGGAGAATTTGATGAAGCTCAACATTCAGCACTGCTCTGTGAGTTCTTGCGGCTTTTTATTATAGTCTGTCTCAGTTGTTTTTTTGTGGTCTGTTTTTTGTTTGTCAGAGGATCTGAGGAGAGAAGTGAGTGGTCAACCATTAATGCCATTGTCTGTCTGAAATCTATCACTTGGTAAGGATTATTTTGTATTCATTGATTTTTTAAAACATTTGTTAATTTTGATAATTTGAAAACGAATGCAGTAAATCATGATGTGAGAGGTTGAGTTAGCTGTGGAAAAAGCTTGGTGACATGTTGACTCACAAATGCTGAACTGAGGTGAGACTCTTTTCCATTACATGCAGAAGACAAGAGTTCAATTCGCTATGAGAGGTAATGAGGAGGGTATTTGTTTAGTATAATATCCATGTCTGTCAGTGTTTAGATGAATATGATTGTTTTCTTCTCTGTCAGTGTTTAGATGAATGCATTGGGTTTTTTTTCCTCTCCCAGAACATCACAGACGATGCCATCACGGCTCTCGGACTCAAGTGCCCGGGCATGACCTTGTTATGTGCTTCTTCGTGTAATCGCCTTACTGACGCTAGTCTTGTAGCCTTGGGCCAGGGATGTCCAGATCTCAGGTCAGTTGCTCTGGTGGTCAGTCTGGTCAGTCAGGGATGTGGGTAACAAAGGTTATTGAACCGTGTGGAAGGGATGTTTGGGGGTAGGGGGGGTGGTTCTATTGATTTAGTAAGTGTAGATAATGGTCTCAGTTTTTTTTTTTTTTGGATTTCATGTGGAATAGTCTTTGTGAAGTGAGGCTCAAAAGGAAGCAAAATTTTTCACATGAAGACTTGTTTTGAAACTATAATTTATCTGAAGAGCTGTAATGCACATTAGGCATCTCATTGAAATGAAATTGGGTAATATGATTGCAATTTATTATTATTATTTGGAGCTTTTGGTGTGTTTTGGTTAGTTTTTACTATTGCTGAGACTGTTGTCTGCCTCAGTATGCTTTGTTGCCCTTGTTGAAACACTTGTACATAGAGTGGTAAGGTGGGTGCAACAGTGCTGCCCACTATTGCGAATTTTGCGGAATCGTTACGATTTTTATTCAATTTTGCAAAAAATACGACCGTAATACATCTGATTACCTTTTTTTGAAATAATTTGGGCTACCATAACCCACTGTCAACCTTCCCAGTGTATAAGGAGAGAAAATCTACCAGACCCGCACAGTAGTGCTGGGCGGCTAGGTTCCCGGTTAATGAAAGCTAGGAGTATTACGAATCGACTCCGAACCCAGTTACTTACTTTCAAATGAGGTGATTTCTTTCTGTAGTTACCCGGTAGGCTCCGAACATCTTCAGGTTTAGGATAACCTTTATTTCGGAACGATACGAAGCATCAACATTTTAAAAAATAAATCTTAAAAAATATAGAAAATTTTTAACTAATAACCACTGGCTTACGTAAAAAAAGAGTCGGAACTTTTCCGTAGCATTAATCGTTGGAATCGGTTCCGGAATCAATTCTTCGCCCAGCTCTACTGCACAGTCTACGTCATGTCCAGTTGTGTAACTTTAACATCCTCTCTGCCTTGACTCTTTGTAGTGGCTCAGTGCCACTTTGCCCTCAGAACATTAAACTTAAGAAGTGCTAAAGCCAGGAGTTACAAAATATTAAGATGATAGGGTGTTAAAAAATTTCTACGCTTTTTTGTTTTGGGTGATAGCCTAGGCCAATAAGAGAGAATTTTTAAAAATGTACCATTTTTTGAAACTTGAAACAATTAGCTGAGGTGGGTGCGTGGCAAAAATCTCTTTTCTCATCACTCTAATGTCTACGTACACAATTTATACTTGCCTGACTACCAGCCCTGTCCTTGACACCCCCTGGGAAGAAAATTACCCATGGCCATATTATGAATTTTTAAACCAGATTACTAATTTTTTAAATTTGTTGATTACTGAAAGATATGCTGGTGGGTGGGCAGCCCTGGTGCAATCATAAGACACATTTTTGTTCCATGAGGGTTTAAGTTGTATTTTGATGTTGAGGGAACGTCTTTTAAAATGATGTTGCCCTAATCATAAACATGGCTTGTGATTTTTAAATGAAAAACTAGAGAGGAAATAATGAAACAAAATCAAACTTTGTTGTTAGTTGCCACTTGATGTTTTTATTCAAATAACGGGGCGAATGCTGTTGCACTGTCACCTGTGGTGTGGTGATTAGGCACTGCGTTGTTGCATGCAGGACACTCGAGTTCATTTCCCATGTTGGGAGAATTTTTGTGTATCTCAGGTTTTCTGCTGGGATTTTGTATCGTTCTCAGTCTGGACTGGCCTTGACAGGCAGGGTTGAAGCCTGCCGAGAAAGTGAGCTAGATTACGTTGATGGGGGCATAAAAACATTCACATTAGAGAGATAAACTAATATATAAGAATGCTAGTGTTGTAGTTGTAGCTGGGTTGAGCAGGAAAGGGGGAAAACTTCAGCATGTCTTTACATTTCTTTTTTCTCAGCACCTTGGAGGTGGATGGATGCAATCTCCTCACAGACGCTGGCTTTCAGGCTCTCACTAAGGTGAGTAGTCAACTGTTTCCTTATGTTCTCTGCAGCTTCCTGATCTGGTCTACAAATGTATTTGTTGTTTCCAGGAAATACTATTCTTAAAATTTAATTTAATTTTTTTTTTTTTTTTGGGGGGGGGGGGGGGGGGGCAAATTGTTGTAAAAAATCATGGATGCTTGGTGTGTCCCTTTCAGAAAAACCACTTACGTAATTTTTTGTGTGCTTTACGCTGTTTCCATGACTAACCGTAAGTCCACATTTTGTCGAGTTTTGAAAAAATGTTGGTAATTTGTAGATCTTTACAGATAAAAGAAGGTGAGGTTTCTGTATATTGTGAAGTACAGCCTAACAGAAAGGCATTTTGTTCTTCTTGCGATTGTTGTTAGTTTTACGTAATTTTTGTCTGCTCATGTTCCCAGAACTGCCACAACTTGGAGAAGATGGATCTGGAGGATTGTATACAGGTGAGACTTGTGAGAGACAGGACTAAGAGACAGAAAATGGGTGGTTAGTGGGTGCTGTGGTGTGGTTTGGTTCTTCTTTACTTTTACTGGCAAACATTTATCATTCATATCTCTTCTCCTTCTTTTCGATGAACACTTACTCTCTAGTAACACTTCTAATCTTAGGCACTTTTTTTGACCTCTTTGTGTTGCAAATGACATAAAACTTTTGTTAATTATGTCAGAAAGAAAAAAAATCAAAGTTAAACAGAGAGAGGCAACTTCTGTTACACAAATATACAGTATAACATTATTTACATTGATATTCTTTTTATGAAAGTCAGGTCTATTTCTTTTTGTCTCTTTGTCTCTCTGTCTCTCTCTTTGTTTCCCTCCCTGTTTCTCTGTGTCTCTCTCTCTTTTTTTTGGTCTCCCTCCCTCTCTACTTCCCTCCCTCCCTCCATCCCTCCTTTACCCTTTCGTTCCTTCCCTCCCTTTTTATTTGCCGAGATGTGATGGTTTTAGTTAATGTGCCCTGTTTTAATTCTCTTTCCTCAGATAACGGACGCCACTCTGGGCCATATAGCCACCTACTGCCACCGCTTGTCTGCCTTGGTGAGTCTTCACTCCCTTGCTATATATGTTTATGTCCATTCATCTTTCTCACTGAACCAGATCACGAATTATTTTGCTAATGTTCTTCTCTTTTCTTGAACTAACTGACAAACAGTGCATATTTTCCTACTCATGTGTGTCCTTCCTCTGTTTCATGTCAGGAATCTTCAGAAACAGCTCTTCTATTGTTCCTGTCTGTCTGTCTGTCTTACTGTTTCCCTAGCAGTAAATGACAGTTTTTGTGTGAAGATGCTTCTCTTTAATAATGATATATTATAATGATGATAAAAATCACTTCTATAACACTCACTCCTTAATGGCTCGTTGGGCTTTACAATGAAATGAAATAAAACATTTTGACAGCTAACACAATGACATATTTCAAGCATACCGGCCCGTTCAATGTACATATAAATCTTTTCAAATATAACTGCACCTATAATCTAACAAAAGAACATATTATTATATATATACACTACAAGACAATCACTGTGATTACTGCTCTTGCTTGCAGTTGAAAGAACAGAATCAAGCTATCTGGTAAAAAAGGATTTAAATAAATATATATGAGGCAGCGTGGTGGAATCAGGCTCTCGTCAAAATAATCAAAATGAAGAAACTTGCATTTTTCCGCAGGTTTGTGAATTTTTATTAAATTTTTGTTTTTTTGCTCAACACCTTTCATGCCATTAAAGAACTCATTTCTGAGTGGATTTTTCTGAAAAACATTGATTAAAGGAACAGAAAATGTAAATTTTCAGTTACCACAGACTCTCAAGCTGTGGAAATAACTAACCTTTGGCTGCCATTTTCTCACTAATTTTACCTCTGAAAACAGGTGACCCCCACCTCCTTCTTTCGTAAATATCTCGACTTTAATTCAAGATAAATGGATACTTTTTTCATCCAATTAAAGACAAGTGAACAAGCTTTAATATGATACCAATAACTCTACATGCCCAAAAATTGACGAGAGCCCGATTCCGAATGCCGTTTTATACCAAAGCAAAAAAAAAAAATGTCCCCCCAGAACAATGTACAATCTAATCTGCTCGTCGCTACCAAGACTTACAAAGTTATATCTTAACATTTTTGTCCATTTTGAGTTACTAAGACCATGAGGTCAGAAACCAAATGTTCTGTGTGCTCCCTTCAAAATCGTAAGAACATTCTGAGACGCTGACAAAATATTCAAAGAATTGCTTTTGAAAAAGCTTGACATGTTGTGAAACTCAAAATTTTTTATGTCGTATTTCTCAAAACTGGGTGCACACTGAGCAGATAGAAGAACTTTGTAACTCTCGGGTAACATTGTGTTGTGTATCCAGCAACTAGAACTTTGTAATTCTTGGATAATGTTGTGTTGTATTGTTATCAATTCAGCTAGGGTAACTATGTGGTGTGGTTTGCTTCTTCTTTCCTATCGAACATCTTATCGTCCTTATTTCCCCTTCTTCTTTTTTATGTTTGTTACTCTCTTGTAACCCCTCTAATCTTGTGGGTGGTTGGTGGGTGCTCTGGTTTGGTTTGCTTCTTCTTTCTGATCAAGCATCCATCGTCCTTATGTCCCTTTCTTCTTTTTTATGTTTGTTACTCTCTTGTAACACCTCTAATCTTCTGGCGCTCAAATAACCTTATGCAGTTGCGAGCGCTGTAAAACCTCTACTAAAACTAAAAAATTTCTAGTCTCCTGGTGCTCATATGACCTTATGCAGTTGTGAGCGCCGTAAAACGTCTACTAAAACAAACATTGGTTGTTATTGATCCAGCTAGGGTAATGTTGTGTTGTGTCTCCCCCCAGTCGCTGTCCCACTGTGAGCTGATCACGGACGAGGGCATCCGCCAGCTGGGTTCGGGCCCGTGTGCCACGGAGCACCTGCAGATCCTGGAGTTGGACAACTGCCCGCTGATCACGGACGCCTCGCTGGAGCACCTGATGGGCTGCCAGTCCCTGCAGCGGATCGCTATCTACGACTGTCAGCTGATCACACGGGCCGGGATACGCCGACTCATGGTGGGTGCTTGGGCGGGGATGCCGTGGTTTTATTTTTGTCTTTTACTACTACCGCAACCCCCACTTTTGAGTGATGAAAATGTGGCAAGTCTTTCTCTTCCTGAGTTGGTCTTATTGGTTATAATAGAAGCCACAAGTCATCATTACCCTTATTTCTTCTGTTTTGTCTAAGATGATCTGTTGGTCCTCCCTAGACATTGATGGGCGAACTATTATTATTAATTTTGTTGTTGTTGTTGGTATAATCATCATAATCATCATCATCATTGTATAATTTTTATTATTATCATCATTATTATTATTATTATTGTTATTATTATTGTTATTTTGTTATTATTATCCAACAGGGTCACCTCCCAGACACGATGGTCCATCATTACTTCGCCCCAGGCACTCCCCCTGCCTCTGTGGGAGGAGGGCGGCAGAGGTATTGTAAGTGCTGCGTGATTCTCTGACCAGCCCTACTCTACCTAACAGACGGTGCTCTTCTGAAACAGGTAGGCTACTGGCAGGAGAGAAAAATTTATAAGAATAAAATATAAGACTGCTGTTATTTATACTGTGTAATGATTCGTATCCCGTATTGCTCAATGTCGCATGAATACAGTCTTGCGAACATGTGAGAACGAACACATTCCTTTTTGTAAGGTATGGTATTAGAAACAATGTTTTGCTGTTCAGCTCATTGTTTTAGGGTCCTTGAAATATAAATTTAGTTGTGTAAATTATTTTAAATGAGCAGACATGAGTATCCTTTTTAATATTATTGACCTTAGAAAAATCCTCTAATTTGGAAAGGAAATTGGATTAATACAAAAAAAGTTGTAAAATTGTGTTCATTCATTGTTTTAAAATTAAATACGTCAAAATTTTTAACGTAATATTTAATGTCTGCCTGTATTTTTTATTTAGTTGTAAGAAAGGCCAATATATGGGGAAAAGTGTTATGGTACAGTCAACCTGCCTTAATGGAAACCTGTGTAAAACGGAAACCTGTCTTAACGGAATCTCCCCACTCCCCCCTTGATATATCCTGTATAAAACGGAAACCTGTCCAAAACGGAAACAGAAAGAAAAATCCGCTCCCTTTTGAGGGTTTTACCTGTCTAAGATGGAAAATGCTTTACCATCAGCCCTGATTTGAAACAAAACTGACAAGTTTTTGTTCCGCCGACTTTAAACTTATGGCCATGCCGCCTGGCGGGGAAGGTGGGTAGGGGTGCAATTTAGGGGTAGATGTTACCCCATCTATGTGAGCCCTGAGCAATGCAGATGGACAGGGTGGTGTGGGTGTGAAATGTCACGAGTACCAGTGAAAGTGGTCGAGTAGTGAGCCACCATGGAAACTTTCCTGCTTTCCTGGGAAGCCAGAGGTTGAAATTAGTTGGTCAATGCCTGCCGCCCTGATCGTACGACCCGCCAAGAAAAGAGTTCCTCAAATCGTTGTTACATGGCAGTGAGGGGTGGCATTGGTTGACTGTGCTCGTTACACGGATGGGTGGGGCTAAGGGTGGAAGCAAAGGGGATGTTCAAACGTTTCTGTTTTAAAAAGGGCAAACAGTGGTCCTATGAAATGCAAGCACTGGCAGTAATTGGATAAGTAGAACTGACACATTATGTTATCAGAGAGGATAGCAGTTGAGACGTGAAGTTTTGACTATATACCGAACAAGCAACCCTTCATCCCACTGGCTGGGCCTTTGAACCCCCCCCCCCGTCCCCTTCATTTCCCCCCTAAATTCCACTGTCTAAGACGGATCGCCCATTATTGAGGAGAAAGGTGGTCATCTTAGATAGATGGTCATTAGCTGACCTGCAGATTTACCCAATATTGTTATTTTATAAAAAGCAACTCAGGTATGCTTAACGATACTTTAGCCGTGAGAATGTTTTTAAAAATCTTTTCCTCAGATAAGCTAAAAAATACTTTAGCCGAGATCTTCTTAAAGGAGCAGACTTGTCCTCCTCCTCCTCACTTGCCGGCTCTCTCTCTGACTTTGGCTGGGACTGTGCTGGGGGAGAATGTTGCTGTCTTCAGGGGGAACAAACGATGCCAGAGGCTACAGATTCAGATGGACACGTACACAGTGGGCACAGGAGTCATCATCCGTCACTTAGACTGTAGTTCTTCTCACTAATGTGGGCATTTAAAGGATTTCTTTTTGCCCCCCCCCCCCCCCCCCTCTAAATTCAAGATATGGGGTTGTTTTTTTTTGTTTCCCCCCCCCCCTTTTTTTCTAAATAAAATAAATAAATTTTTCTTATAGATAATTAAATGTGAAGAAAGAAGCTGTTAAGAGGGTTTCTTGTCATCTGTGTTTTGATTGAATGAGAGTTCTAGTGTGCTGAAGTCAGCACCTGACATCAAAGCTAGGAATTTTCCTCTTTTTTTTTTCTTTTTTTTTCTGAAGGGGACGTACTCATTCTGTGCTGGGCTTGTGTTTGCTGCCGTGCATGCTGGCTCCTTTTGCGATGATGTTCAGATTGGACTTAGCTTACGTTCACTAGTACATGCATGTACGTATATGTAGTTTTACATGGTGACCTTGACTTGTGCATATTTATATATATACATATATGTTATATATCTTTATGCCTTGACTTAGGCACATACATATATTGATATATATATATGGCTTTCCGTGGTGACTATGACAGTTCATGTATTGCTTAGTGTGGTGACCTTGATGGCCTTGAGCAGACTAATCACCATCAGCGGATTAGATGGAACAGCGTGATTCTCTGTTTGAATCAAAACACGGATACATTTCGGTATCAATGTCTGAAAATGAATCGAATTACAGTTGCCCGAATTTTTAGAGGTGGAAATTCAGTGCTTGAAAAATTTTAAGTGTTCCTAATTATTTTTTTTCCCTCTTAGTATATGGAATGCACTTTTTATAGAGTGTGGGGAAAGGTTATGTCCAAGATAAAAATGGATGATGTTTTTTCCTTTCTTGTTCTGAATCTTCAATAGATGTAGTTGTGTGACATTTGTTGTGTTCTTAAACATACAGTCTCTACATGCTATATATATAATATGGAATGTACATTTTTCCATAGAAATGTGTTAAGTTGAAGTTGTAAAAGTGCTTTTTCTTGAAAAGTTGCAATTCAGCTTATCTGCCATTGTTTCAAGTGTTTGAATGGCTTAGTCCTGAATTTATATTTGGGATTGGAGGGGGTGTGGGTGCGAGCACTTTTTGTTTTTCGTTTCCAAGTGATCCTTACATTTGGCTAGCATCTTGTTTGCCATGTTGTTGATGATTGACATGAAGTTTTAACTCATTTTGGAGCATTTCATTGTATCTGAGGCTATCAGCTATTGTGTAGGCTGTATTTTCTCAAGTTTTAAGTGAAGTTGTTTTAATTTAGATGTCCATTTCTGTTTACATCAAAATGAAAGTGTTCTTGTTCTGAATGAAGTAGATATGGATTTTTTGGTGGGTTTTTTTCACCCTTCTTTTTCATCCCACATTCATGTTCCTGCACTTTCCCAGAAGGCCTTGGATTATAAGATAAATCATTTCAACAGTTTTGATTGATTTCGGCCAAGGGTACTAGCAAAGGCTTGTCTACACAAGGACGTGTTTGCAAATTTTCTCACTGGCTCGTGTCATTCTGAAGTGAAGTGAGAAAACGGCTATGAAGTCGCTGTGCGACTTTTTGAGGCGTGAATAAAAACAATTGCAGATGAAATTATTGAAGACAGTCACCCATTATTGAAGAAAAAAGTGGATGTCTCAGAAAAATGGACCTTTGGGACAATCATTATAATACAGGGGGAAAACAAACCAAACGGGGGAAGAAACTGCAAGTGGTCGTTTATTCAGGTGATTGTTTTGGACAGGTGGTGGTTACAGCAGGTTAATGGTAGATATATTGAAAGACTGCAAATGTCTCAGGGGCTCTTTTTAAAACAGGCGTTGCTAGCTCAAATTACCCATAGACTGCTCAAAGTTCAGCCTGAGTGAGTCTGGTCCAAATCACGTATCCCCCCCCCCCCCAAAAAGGGTTTCAAGTATTTTATTAAAAAAGTACATGTAATCTGAAATTCAGGGCAACACCTCGGCAAAAAGGTGCGTGTGTGGAAAACATGCGGGTTGCACCCACACTAAACTTTGATGCCAAGTAGGGGCCGCAGAATGTCATCCTGCGGTTCTCAATAAGTTTGCCAACAGGGAGTTTGAAACCCCGGTTGTGGAAAGATGGGCAATTAAGTAATTAGAAAACATGTGAATGCTCAATATGTGCTGCATGATATTGAAATGCTTTTCTTTTTTATCTTGAAGAATTGTACTGGAGTGAAGAGTTTTTTCGACCCTGCCTAACTAATTGGTAAAGTGTTTTTATAAAGTCTTAACTTTAATTTGCTGACCTCCTTTGCTGTGGTATAATGGCAAGGCTCATTAATATTGCTCCTGAGAGACTTAATTTTGATTTCTTCTTAGAGAAATCTGTTTTTGGAGATGCCTGGTTTGTTTCAATATGTATCCCACTCAGCCTTGACTTGCCCTGACAGGCGGGGAAGAAGCAGCCTGCCTTTCCAAAGGGATTGGAGGTGGTGATGTGTAGATGCCAGTGTATGTAGGATCTTTTTTACTTAACTGACGTGGCGTGTTATTGCAGAAAAAAACAAACTTGGTAGTCAGTCTGATGGTTCCTACCCTTTTGCTTTTGTCCTGACTGCTAGGAGGAAGTTGGTCGGCCCCACGGTCTCTAAGCTTTGTCCTTGGACCGTGATGTAGTAAGAGTCCCGTGCAGAACAATGCACCGTGCCTGCTGCCTTCTGCTACGGTCGTGTTTCTCTTTCATTTTCATGTGCTTGTGAAATGCAGCCTTGTTTCTGTTTCTGTTTCTGTTTCTTTCTCCCTCTCCCTCTCCTCTCTCTCTCTCTTTCTCTTTTTCTTTCTCCTCTCTCTTTCTCTTTCTCCCTCTCTCTCCCTTTGTCTGTCTGTCTGTTTTTCTCTCTCTCTTGTTTTCTTACTATATGTCTCTCTCTCTCTTCTTCCTATCAATCATTTATCAGCACATATACTGAATCAGTCCTTATTTTTTCAATCACTTTTGTAAATGTTAGATGACCATTTCTCCATGGGTATATTTTTTTTTCTGTATAATTTGACTTCATGACTTCATGCCTTGCTTATGTCAGGGTAGCTGCAATTGAGTCTGCACTCGCGGACAAAACTTACTTTCAATGAAGATTTTTGTTATTCAACATGAATATGAATGTGATATGGGAACTTAACAGAATTATTGCAATTTGTGTTGAGTAAAAACTAAATGTTTTTATCTTTCCTCGCCTGAAATGTTTCTGTTGCATCTCTGAGACTCTGAACAAAGCTACACAGGTTATGTCTCTGTGTACACTTTTGTTTGTGGCTGGATTCTGCAGATATCTGGTGGTTTTTAAAAAAAAACCTTTCATAAGTTTCGATGTAGGCTTGTGTGTGTGTGCATGATGATTTTGTAGTACGATTCCCAATTTTCCGAGTCTTGACTTTTTTTGTAGGGCTTTGTTATATTGGATTAATTTAAAAAGGACTGGATAGGGACAGAACAACTTTGAGACTGAAGTTGTGGGAACAATTGTTTCTTGCTGAGGACAACACCTAGCCTGAGATCTCGTTATTTTGCAAAAATTAAGGTCATTTTAGAGTTCAGACATCCGAATTTAATGTCCGTCTCTGATAAGTATGATCGAAATGGTAAAAAATTATGTAAAGTGCCTTTCCCAAGGACACAGTGTGTGACCAATCTAAGCCTCACACTCCGGAACTTGCAATCCCACAATTATGAGTCCTGTAGGCTAACCACTAGACTACTGATGCCATTCCTCCTTCCCCACCACCAACCAACCTCCCCCCCCCCCTCCCAATGATGGGAGAAGTGGAGTGGTGGTTCCTAGTCTTCTGTCGTACTTAGTCAGCTTGATGGGAAAAGAATCAGTAAGACCGTGGGGGGGTTAGGAGGAGATGCAACAGTGTGACTCAAGTGAACTTCGCAGCGCGTAAACTGGTTGGTATGTAGAATTGTTGTCCTTGTAGTCTATCAGCTTGACTTAATCAGAGTCTAGAAATATTCCAGTATCACTTTCACACAGACCTTAAGGCAGTTTGATTAGTGATTAGTGATATAACCCTTTCTTGGCCAGACCTACAATATTGCCTTTCTTAACTGCTAGTCACAGTTCCAGGACATGCTGGAATGGAGTAAATGTACTGAGTTTTCCAGGAAGCCGAAATACTGTGGAGAGCATATTATAAATAGAATATATCTAATTCTAAAACAGCGGTAAATTGAAAAAAATAGAAACTCCATATTTTTTCTTCACTATTTTAGAAATCACTTTAGACAGAAAACATGGCTAAACCTAAAAAAAAATTTGGCTGTCCCACTGTTTTCTGTTTACGCTGATTCCGTTGCAATTACTTTCTGCCACAGTACCATTGTATCCTCTTGAGACGATTTGTTTCCTCAGAGTTACAAAGTTTTATATGACATTTGTAACTTTTGAGTTATTAAAAACATGAGGTCAGAAACCAAATGTTCTATCTGCTCAATAAAAGTCGTGGGGTTATTCGGAGTTGTTATCAAGATATTCGTAGAATTGCATTTGAAACAGCTTGACATGCTGTGAGACTCAAAGATTTTTATGTCAAATTTCTCAAAACTAGGTATTGAGCAGATTTTGTTGTTGTTGTTGTTGTTGTTGTTGTTGTTTTCAACAATTGAGCAGGTAGAACTAAGTAATTCTGAGGTAGCAAAATACATTATACAGCCACATTTTCTTTTTTCTGCAAAGTCATGTTTGAGAGACGCATGAGAGTCGATCCCCTAGGATCATATTTTGTACGAGATTTTTGTACTTTTAAATCTCCAAACATATCAGTGTGATGCTTCTGGATATCTTATTATGTTTGAATCTTCATTCTTGTGTATTATGTTATTGACCAACGCTTCAGCCCGTTCACCTTTGTGTTTTAGGGGGAAACTTCAAGATTTATTTTGTAAACTGAAGATTCTTAGACTTAATGGACTCCTTAACTCTTTTATTTAGCGGGG